CCAACGTGTCTTTAATTTTAAGTTTTAATCTCAATTCAACCCCATTTCTTGTGTTTTCCATTCTTAACCTTCATGTGTGACACTCTTTGTTCAATCATGTATATGCTAACTAATTCGACTACAAAACCTATATCAGGTCGATTGTTGCACTTATATCTCATAGATCCCACTATTTGTTTAAACAAAGTTACATCGACTTTTTCTTCCTCTTCATGCTTATCCAATTTCAAATTTCGTTCTACAGGTGAGGATGCATGATTCGAATCATCCATCTTGAATCTCTTGAGTATCTCTTTGACACACTTCCTTTGATGTAGCATCATACCTTTCTTCGACATTTAAAATTCCATGCCTGAGAAATAAGATAATTTTCCCAGATCCGACATTTCAAATTCTCTCATCATCAGCTCTTTGAACTTCGACAAATTCTCCAAGCTATTTCCAGTTACCAACAAATCATCGACATATAAGCAGATGATTGTTATATCATGTTCCATAACTTGAACATAGACACCATACTTAGACTTGCATTTTACAAATCCCAATTCTACTAAGTATGAGTCAATCTTCTTATTTCATGCCCTAGATGTCTTCTTAAGGTCATAGAGCGCTTTGTGCAACTTATATGCTTTACTTGCTTCCTTCTGAATCACAAACCTTGGAGGTTGTGTGAAATAGACATATTCATCTAAAGGACTACTCAGAAATTTTGATTTCACATATAAATAAAATATTAACCAGTCTTGGTTGCATGCCAATGCTACCACTAGTCGAACATACTCCAATCTTGCTACTGGAGAAAATACTTCAGATTAGTCGAGTCCTACTCTTTGAAGAAAACCTTGAGCTACTAATCTTGTTTTATGTCTAGCTATTGACCCATCGGCATTGAGCTTCAACTTGAAAACCCACTTAAATTCGATAGCTTTTGTATGTGCTGGCAATTCGACTAACTCACATGTGTTAATTCTTTTGATTCCTTGTAACTCTTTAAGCATATCAGACTTCCGTTGTTTAATCTTCAAAGTTTCACTATAGTTGATTGGTTCAGCACCTACAAGTAAAGAAAAATGAACTAGATCTCAATCTGGTGTTACTTCATCATCACCAACCACTTAATAATCATGATGTCTTGCTGGAAGAACTCTAGTTCTTTGAGGTATTTGGCTTGTGCTAGCCACACCCTCTTTAACTTCGATTGTTTCTATAATGTCAGTAACTGCTTCGACTTCGAATGGAATACTTAGAATTTCTTCGACTTCATCAGTTTCTTTGTAGAAACCATGACTCGTCAATGGCTTGTTAATTGCATCATTAGAACTCCAATCCCAAGAAGAGTTTTCATCAATCAAAATTTCTCGACTCAACATAATATTCTCATTAATTGGGTTGAATAGCCTGTATGCACCAGTTTTATAATATCCTACCAGAATCATAAGCTCACTTTTGTCATTAAGCTTCCTTCTCCTTGCATCAGGAACATGCTTGTAACATATAGAGCCAAACACCTTCAGATGACTCAATGATGGTCGTTTTCCATTCGACACTTCTTCATGAACCCTATTCTTCAATATCTTGGTAGGGAACCTATTCACAATATAAATTGCAATCGAAACAGCTTCTTCCTATAAGGATTTTGTATAATCCATCTGCTTCAACATGCATCTCACCATATCAAATATGGTTATGTTTCTTCTTTCTGAAATTCCATTATGTTGAGGCGTATAAGGAGCAGCTACCTCATGATCGACATCGTGTTCTGCACAAAAATCTTCAAACATCTTGGATGTGTATTCACCACCTCCATTTGTTCACAAAACTTTGGTCTTCTTCTCACTCTGGTTTTCGACAAGTATCTTGAATCTCTTGAAGATTTCAAATACTTCGACATTTCGCTTGATCACATAGATACACAACTTTTGACTAAACTCATTGACAGATGAAACAAAATACATGTTTCCACCAATGGTATGTTCTTCAAACAGGCCACATACATCTGAATGTACCACTTTGAGTATGCAATATGTTTCATTGGTATAGTCGAAACGAAAGAATTTCTGGATTGCTTTCCTACTAAACAAACTTCATAGAGTTTGTCAGACATCTTAAGACTTGGGATACCAGTTACCATATCTTGAGTAATCAACTAATTGAGTGGTCAAAAATTCAAATGCCTAAACCTCATATGCCACAACCAACTATCCTTGTAGTCGACAATATTTTTTAGACATTTTACTTCAGCCGAACTGATCATGGTCTTAAACGTCCTTTTCTTCGACAGAGGAGATTTCAAGACCAAATTGTTCCTGGTGTCGAGAAATTTTAAAGCTCCGTCTTTCATGACAACCGAGAAACCTTTTTCGACCAGTTGTCCAACAATTAACAGGTTGAACTTCATTCCAGGTACATAGAGCACATATTTGATCATAGCTTTCCCTTCATTACTCATTTGAAAAACTATGTTTCCATTACCTTTTTCTTGTAACAGACTATTATCAACAAGTTTTTCCTCGCTCTTATTCGACTAGTTGAATTCTTCCAACCATATCTTGTTACCAGTCATGTGATTTGAGCAGCCTGAGTCGATGAACCAGATCTTGGATTCGACATGGTTATCTTCTACTATATACATAACCATCATACCTACAAAATCATCTGATTCTTGGCGTGCAAGGTTTGCTTCTTCGTTCTTGTTTGTCGATCCTTTGTCTTTCCTGTACCAACAATTCTTTGTGAAGTGACTCTTCTTTTCACAGTAATAGCACTGCACACGTTTTTATCTTCTTTGTCCTTTTGATAGTTTCCTCCTCCTCTTTTCGAGGATTCAAAAGCCCTATCATCAACCTTATTCTTGTGGGGATTCAACCAAGACTTCTTGCCCTGAGTTATGTCGAACTTGCCTTTGAATTTGTTGGAACCACCATTTTTTTCCATGACTGAGCCTGTAAAGCTTGTATCGAGTGTTAAACTTTTTTCCTTTCGACAATCCTAATCTCATGTGCTTCCAACAAACCAACCAAATCTTCATGTTTTAGGGTTTCAAGTTGATTGGATTCTTGAATAGCTACGATAACATGATCAAAGTGAGAGGTCAACGCACGCATTACCTTATCAACTATCATCTTATCAGTTAAGGCTTCACCATAACCCTTCATGAGATGGACGAGTTTCTGAACCTTCGACACATTCTCTACAATCTTTTCGTCTTTTCTCATCGACAATAATTCATATTGTCTACGCAAGGTCTGCAACTTGACAACCTTGACTTTCTCACCTCCTGCATAGTACTTGACAAGAATATTCCATGCCTCCTTCGCTAATTCAACATGAGAGATCCTGTCAAAGTTTGTTGCATCGACCGCTGTCTGAATGCAATACACAACCTTGTAATCCTTCTTCTTGACTTTGTTGTGGGATGTTTTATGTGCGTCGGTTGCATCTACAACCAACACAGAAACGTCATTAGTAACCATTTTTAGGGTTTCATGAAAGCCAAACAGAGATTGCATTTGTTTTTTCCATCGAATCCAATTCTTGCCGTCAAGAGTTGGAAGAGAATTCACAATACTACTTTTATCATTCATCTTTGCAGCGTTTGCTAGTGAACAACCCACAATCCCGAAAATACGATCTCTAACGTGTGATTCTTGAAAACACTATCAAGAATCTAATCGGAGCTCTAGATACAAATTTGTTAGTGCATGAGGCACTTTTAGTGAGGAGAGAAAGAGAGAATAAATGAAATAAGGATTATATAATTGACTTGAGTTGTTACAAATAATAATAAAGACTAATCTTATTTATATACAACTAACTTATACATTAAATAAGCTAACAAATCTTAATTGAGATTGAGTTTGAATTACACAATTTAGATTATATCTAATATTATATTTAATATTTCAAACAATTTTTGCAAGTACTTAGTTAATACACCGTTAAAAAACTTATACATGAGGTTTATCATATTTTCTGATAAATTAAGATTTTTTTATTGACTGCAAAATAAATCAATAAATATTTATATATTTTAAGTATTTTTGATACTTATGAACAACCTCATCATTTAAACTAATTTTTAAGGTGAAATCCAAACCCATTTAAAAATGTTACATAAACAATTATATATTTCACGCATTACTTCCCGTGCTAGGTGAAAAGTACTTATATTTTATGATGAGTCTCCAACAAAACTAGTTTACAAAAACAATCTTTTAAAAATTGAAATAAATAAGTTAATATACAATTAATATCTGTTATAATATTTTTTGGATTCATGGTAGACAACATTATTTAATTTTTTTTTTAAATATGACATGTGACATGAATATAACATGGTAAAACTTATTCGGGGAGTTACTAAGAGTATTGATACAAATGCATCTTTGTGAGTGACAAATCATTTATCCACCTAAAACTTTAAAATGATAGATGAGTGGATTATCCTATTTATAAATATTTTTATTTAATATGAAACTATTTTCCCACACTTGTATTATAACACTCCCCTTAAAATTCGAGTTCTCATATGTTCCACCGTTTACACTTTGCAATAGGATATCTGATACAAGTAAATGGTCCTTTTCTCGAATCAATGTCTCTTGATACTATTTATTGAAGAGAATTACTAAGAACATTGATAAAAAAATTGAAGATTATGCACATTTGTGAGAGATGCATCATTTATCCACCTAAAAACTTAAGATAATATATGAATGGATTATCCTACTTATAAATATTCAAATCATCACATTTATATTTAATATAAAACTATTTCTCCACATACTCGTATTCTAATAAGAACAATTCATTCAATAGTTACTATTATTCTATACTAAAAACTCTGTATAAGTTAATATAATAATTTAAAATGTTGTTCATGGTCAAAATTCTCTATTCAAAAGATAAATAATTCTAGAGGTGATACAAATGCATTTAGAGAACAAAGTGACAATTTTGCACCAATGAAGTTTGAACAACTCTAAATAATGTTAAAAACTTTAACGAGTGACAATTTGTATCAAAGTGTTGAGATTCTTAGCAGAAGTACCATTTTCTCCAACAGCTTCCAATGCAGACTCTTTAAGTTTCACTATATTCTTCCTCATAAACCTCCCTCTCTCACTTGACATGGTTAATTCCAAACCTTTCAAAATCGATTCTTTACTCAAAACTCCATTCTCAACTCTCACACCAATCTCCCAAACACTTTCTATCATTCTTGCATTCATCTTCTGATCTCCAAAAAATGGTCTACTAATCATTGGCACCCCACCAACAATGCAATCCAAAACAGAATTCCAACCAGAATGCGTCAAACAAACACCGACCGATGAATGTTTAAGGATTTCCATTTGAGGAGCCCATGCAACAATTTTTCCTCTTGCTCTCGTCCTTTCAATAAACCCCTTCGGAAATTGTTCCTCCGGATTACCTCTAAAGGCCCAAAGAAACGGAAATCCACATTCTTCTAAAGACTCCGCCAATGCAACGAGCTCATGAGGCGGGGGTATTATCGAACTTCCGAAGCTAATATAAACCACTGAGAAACTCTCATGTTTGTTCAACCAAGCTAAACAGTCATGTTCATCGGAAATCGTACGTTGTGGCGTTGTCAAGATGAATGGACCAACATTTAGTAGCAATTTGAACTTGGAATTCAACTCATTCTCAATAATAGAGTGTAGTGTAGAAAATGAGTTTATGGAAACTGCGGTTGCTCGTGGTAACGCTTGTCCCATTTTGTGTAACATTGTTCCAAAAGGTCCATCAATATCTTCTATCACCCCTTCAGGCAAATCAGAAGCCTCTAGCTCAGGAAAACCAGGTAGAAATTTGGCTTTTTCGACATCATCTACTAACAAACAAAAAAAAAATCAAATTCTTATAAATTAGTTACCAATAGATCAAATAACTAACTCTCTCTTGGGAGGAGATTATTACGAGCATTGATGCATAGTGTAAGAATAAGTACCTTATGTGAGAGACACATCACTTCTCCACCTAAAACCTTAAAGTGATAGGTGAGTGGATTCTCCCACTTAAATATTTTTAAGTCTCCACGTTCTTATATAATGTGAGACTATTTTCCCACTTACTCACACTTGCTGTATTATTTCAACACACAGTAACTTTGTAATTAACAATTGATATCTAACTTCGGATTTGTAACTAGCAACCAATATCTAACTCTAATCTATTGTATCCAATTTGTAACTAATTTATAACTAATTTGCAACTAATAACTAACCCACATCTAATATGTAACTAACTTTCAACTAATATTTAACTCTAACTAATTTGTAACTAACTTTTAACTAATGTTAATATCTCTAACTAACACGGTAATTATAAAATAAAAGATTGATACCTTTATTGTTTCCGAATTTCTCTCTGATGAGATCTGTGTAGAAATGGGTAAGAAGAGCGTGAGGGCCAGCAGTCCAAACAGGAACCCATTTGGCATTCATCTCATCAGCAAGATCAGCACCAAACCAATAAAAAGCATCAGTAACAAAACAAGTAATCTTCTTCTCTGTCTCTATCACAGCTTCACCTACAACAATCTTATAATTCTCCGGCATTGCCTTAATAAACCGAAAAATCGGTTCAAGCGGATGTCCGGAAGGTACATAACCTTCCGGCAAACCATCAGGAACATCATAATGTTTAATATTAGGAAGATGAAACTCATCTGAACTAGAAAAAAGGGTTGCATTTGATTTCTTTGTGCTGAAAAATGAAAATGTGACATTGGGAGCTTCTTCTGCAATTTTTCTCACAATACTAACAAGTGGAGCTGCATGTGTGCCAAATGGAAATGCTAAAACAGCCACATGCAGTGATTTTTGAACATTGATTTCACCTTTAGAGTTCGACATTTAGTACTGATTGAAAATGTTATTTTAGTGAGAACTGAAAAAGAAGATGTGGATTATATAGAACCTTAGAAAACTGGTTGGTCGTTTAGTAGTGATTGAAAATGTTATTTTAGTGACAACTGAAAGAAGATGTGGATTAAATAGAACCTTAGAAAACTAGTGGGTCGTTTTTATTTTATCCCTACCATAATAAATTCATCCATATAAAGTAAAGTAATATAATGTTTTTCTCTACGTAAAAGATAATTTAATAAAAGAAGACATTCAATAGATCAATTTGTGTCCATTACTTTCACCAACCAAAGATGGATGTAATAAATTAATGGGCCATTACACTCTTTATAGCACCGAATACAACGTTTTAAATTAAGCCAAATATAACATGTGTCTAACGGAAATACGTCAATAAATTATTTGTAGAAATATTTCTTTTGAAATGTATGTGTTTAATTTTTTAAAATTTTAAATATAATTTTATTATATTTAAAATTTTTGTTTCAAATTTTATTAAGAGCAAATAATTTGTCTGTTTTGTCAATCTGAAATTTCAAATAAAAATCAAATTCCAAAAAGTACCTCTCTGGTCAAACTTTCATATAGATAATATTTTTTTATTAATAAAGAAATGTGCCACGAGCATCACGCCATCACCTATGCTCGTAAAAAGAAACTTATAAAACATAATTTGGTGTAAGAGTTCTTAGTTGATGTAAATAATAAAAAAAGATATTAAATTTCCTATAAACAAAAATTAGTTAATGTATTCTCATGTTTGATTTGTCGATTTCAAATGGAAGAATTTATCTATAAAAAAAAGAAGAAGTTAAATTTAGTGTTTTGAGATTATCAAAATTTATAAAAAAAACATCAATATTGAAATTAAAACTGGTTAGATTATCTACCATGACAAAATTATTCAACACTTATTTTTCCTATTTTTTTATACTCTACATCATCGTCTCTCTCTTCCACCTAATAGTTCAACACTCATTCAATTTTTACTCACTACAATAATTTTGTTTAATAAAATTCAACACCTTACTCTACCATTTTTATTTCATATTTTTATTTTCTTTTTTATGTTTTTGTTTTTTTGATTATATATTAATAATAATTATCAATTGAAATTAAATTAAAATTATTTAGAACTACAAACAATAATTTATTGGAAGCAAAATAGAAAAATTAGAGAGAAAAAATAGATTTTTTTTTTCTTTGTCCAAATCAAATGAACCAAGATTCTATTTATAGACAAAAAAAATAATGAATTTTGATAAAAATAAAAATAAATAAAAAATTCATTTTTCTATAAAATAATTGACTTCAATAATTTAGGTGAAATAAAAATATAAACAATCACAACAACCAATTATATTTTACAAAATATTATAAGTGACTCTCACTCATTTCTCATTCAATATTTTGAATGTTTTCAACACAAATTAATCCATGTTACATTCAACACTTTATTCAACAATATATTGAAACAATTTAACTATTGAAAAATTTATTCATCACCCATATTACAAATAGTCTTAAATCAAATTTATTGGATTACAGAATAGAATTGGCTCCGGTGTGTATTCATGCGTGAGAGGGAGCAGTGAAATCTGCACCACTAAATTCTCATCAACCCTTTATTTCTTTCACTTTTTATTTCACTATTTACTTGATTGCTTTAGGCCATAAATAAATCTATTTAATTTACAAACCAAAAATTTATTTGAGACCTTTTAGCCAAGAGGTATTTTCATATAAATATCAAAAAGTTTGTGTTAACATCTAATTGTTCTAGTTACCAATTATTGGTTGCAACTAAAGATAGAATGATACAAATAGTCATCATTTTAACTAGGGATAAAAGTTTCTAGCTAATCAATTCTTTCGTTCTGATTGAATCCCTTAGCTAGTAAGTGACCTTATAGCTTTCAACAATCCCATTGGCTAAAAATTTGATTTTAAAGAGCCATTTGCAACTAATGGATCTCTTATTTGGTGGATAGAGTACTAGGTCCCAAGTGTTGTTGGTGATAAGGGGTTGTAACTAATTATTAATGGTCAGCTACCAATTGAGGTCAGTTATGGCTTGAGTATGAGATGTTGGTTCAAAAAGGGTAGATAATTTTAAATTGTAGCATTATTGGTTATCAGATGAATTATTATAAGTAATAGAATTTTGGATAGGGTAATGAGATTTACCTAGAGTGAGGTAGGAAGAAACAGGAGGAGTACATGCTAATAGATAACAATGATAATCTTGCAAATATGTGGGAGGTTGGGTGATACAGGTAGATTTATGGTTAGGGAAAACCATAGGAGTAGGGGTGTTGGTTGAGTGGGCTGAATCATGCGGAGTGGAGGGATTCAGTTGTGAGTTTTTTATGGTGTTTGGTGGACTATCTGATATAGTTGTTGGAGTTGTTAGGGAGGGAATGAGGGGAGCATTAGGGCTGTGTTAACTGAGATTTTTGACAGGATTAAAATTCCAGCTAGACAATGGAGAAGATAAAGAGGGTTGAAGTGAAGAGTGTGGCAAAAGGCCGAAAGGTGGTCGACACGCATGGAAGCCATGGTTTGACAGGGAACAATGAATAGGGTGTTGAAACTTATTCTGGGAAAAGACTTGTGGACTTATGATTTTTTTTTTCAAATAGTAGTAACGAAGATTTCAATCAAAACAGTTGAGATTCGATCCAGGCAGTTGATACAAGCAAATGTGGTTCAGTGACCACTTCTTAACCTTATCCTTAGTGTGAAGGTGTGTAGAGGCGATTTACGAAATACGAAGACATGCAGTGGAAACGTGGCACTCAGTGGAGAAAAGTCTGCCTTGAAGCAGTTATTTGTATTTTATTATAGATAGTAATTTATTTAGTAGAATAAGTGGTGTTCAAACTTACTATCAAACTCACACAAAACTCAAAGTACCTAGCGAAGTGCGAAATGAGTCTCGAGAGTGTATTGTATGTTTGATCACAAAATTTACTTTAATACAAAGCTTTACATTCAACTCTTTTTTATTTTCCTTTATGATTCATGGTCGAAATCTTTACGTTTCTAGTCATAATTTTACGTTCACTTGCTTTGAATTTCACAATGTAAACTTGGAAACTATCGAAATTACTCAAACCCTTACTATTCTTAGTCTAATTGAAAAACTTCACGCACATTGTTTTGCGATTCACCAGACGATCACGCAAAGTAACCTTTAATAAGAGACCAGTGTTGTTTACCAAATTTCAGTGTAAACAAATTGGAACATCCAATGGGACCCTGTGCTAATATTTTTTCAAATATTTTTGTTAAGCTCATTATGTTTTCAATGTGTATGGTTTGTATTGCATAACATAATACAAACTTTTTTTGATGCATGAACTTGAGAAGTGGGAAACAATTGCCTAAAATGTCACAGTCTATCGCAAACACAAACACTTCTAATCCTACACAGAGCAATGCTCACAATGTTGACGGCATACCAGTTGGTACAACAACTCAAATGTGACGGTTTTGTCCCATGTTAGTGAAGTTGTGAAGAAAACGCAAGAAAAGGGGAGTTTGAATTGGGTTTTCCTTTCTTAACAAACTTTCAATTCTTAACATTGTTGTGTTAAGTGATGCTTTTGAATGTGTTGTATAAGCATAAAAAATTAAGCATAAGAAGAAGTAAGGAACACGTGATATATACCTGTAAGTGTTTGTTGGCAGCAATTTTGGTAAATCAATGTCTTAATAATGTTTTGCTATATGCCTCCTGAACTGATCTCAACCCAACATCAGTTTAAGTTTTATGTTTCCTGTTTTCCAACGCTCCATAATTCAAGATTTGTAACTCACATGCAGCGAAAAATATGGAGAAATATTTTTCAAAATGCATGGATTTTATCTTGACCTGTTTTTATGGAAATATTCAAAAGAATTGAATATTTGGTTTTAAAGCCCAAGCCCACAGCTGTGCATATATAAGGACTTGCTTCCTTATTCAAACTATTGCAACTTTTGAAGAAGAAATACTTTCTTTTTGTTTTAAAAAGTCTAAGTCTTTTAATTGTCAAACACTCTAGTATTGATTGAATACTTGTGTTGTTATTTGGGTTGTTAATTGTGTATCATTCATAAGCTTTTAAGCATTGAATGACTGAAGTTTTTAAACTTATTAATTATGTTGTTTCTTCACTGTAAGTGATTGAAGGGATTTGAGGAGGGCCTCATACTTACGTGAGTCTTAGGTAGAAGTGTAAAATGGGTAGTGATTAAGTGATTAGATCGTAAACTGGTTGATTACTGAGAGTCTGTGAATTGATACTATTTAATAGACTTGTCCTTGGCTTGGTATCCCCCAGAGTAGGTGTTGTTGTATGCTGAACTAGGTGAACAATCTCTTGTGTTTTTACTGCTTTTGATTTTACTGCTCTTTACTTGTAAACAAATATTTATGTCGTGACATCTCATTCGATATCACATATCTGATACCAGAATTTCAATTGGTATCGAAGCAGGCATCCTGCTCTTTATCTGGGTGAGATCCAGGGAAGATACTTTCTTGTACTATGGACAAGGAAGGAGGATTTGTGAACAGACCACCCATTCTGGATAGAAGTAACCATGACTACTGAAAACCACGTATGGTTGCCTTTTTAAAGTCTTTGGACAACAGGGCTTGGAAAGCTATTTTAAAATGATGGAAACACCCTGTCAAATTGGGAGAAAATGGAGACCTACTTCTGAGTTAAAACCAGAGGAAGATTGGTCTAAAGAAGAAGATGGAATTGCTATTGAAAATTCTAAAGCCTTGTATGCTATATTCAATGGAATTGACAAAAACATTTTCAGATTAGTGAATACATGTGAAGTAGCTAAGGATGCATGGGGAATTCTTCAATCTATTCATGAAGGCACACCCAAAGTTAAGATGTCAAGACTTCAGTTGCTCACCACAAAATTTTAGAATTTGAGAATGAAGGATGATGAAAGTATAAATGACTTTCATATGAACATTCTTG